GGGGACCTGGCGGGGCTGGGGTCGCGGGTGGGTACGGGGGAAGGGGGCAGCGGGGAGAGCAGAGCCCGTGTCCCGATTGCAACGGCCGGCTGGGAGCCGCGAGGTCTGCAGTACGAGCTCATCGTAGCGATGCAGCGCACGACCCCGCAGCCCCGCTGTCTTCCTTTGCTAGGATGGGGAAGGAAAAGCACTTGGGTCCTTCGTTCCCCCCCTCCTCATCTCCAGGGGTGGGTACGGGGGAAGGGGGCAGCGGGGAGAGCAGAGCCCGTGTCCCGATTGCAACGGCCGGCTGGGAGCCGCGAGGTCTGCAGTACGAGCTCATCGTAGCGATGCAGCGCACGACCCCGCAGCCCCGCTGTCTTCCTTTGCTAGGATGGGGAAGGAAAAGCACTTGGGTCCTTCGTTCCCCCCCTCCTCATCTCCAGTGCAGCGTTACTGCGGAGAGTCGTTACTAATACCCCTCCCCCGACACACGCACACTTCTGCACAGGACCGGTGGTCTCCTTCACTTGCCTAGACATGATTCAGCTTGAAGTGACAGGCATTTGGGAAGCGACTGAAACCCTTGAGCATGATCGCGCTTTCTACAGGGAGGGGGCGCTAGTGGACAAAGATGCAAAGCAGGAGGCGCTGAACTTCTCTGTGGCACAAGGAAACAGGCCAGAAAGGGTGACATGGATACTCAACCTAATGCAGGGTCACTTATTTGCAGTGTTAAAGGGCTGGAAGAACCCGGACAACTGATTTTCTTCCTTTAAAAAGCATTTGAGATGCTTGCTTGTAACTGTCCCCCCCATTCCCAAAATGCACTCATTCACTGCTGGGGGACTTGTTCTATCCCGGCTGCATGCACACACTTCTGTTAAGTATAGGGCACATTTGCCAGTGGGGCACATCATCCATTCTAAGTGAGGTTTAGGTGTAAGTGCATATAGACTGGGGGGGGAGACTGACACACATATTTGGATAATAAAGTACTATGGTTTTTTTCAGTTCCATAATGCGTACCGGAGGAAATGAGTTCCCTTTAAGGACAGACCTTTACTTTTACTTTATATCACTCTGGGTGATTTTGCCTTTTGTTGCTGTTGCCTGTCACGATCTCAAGACTAGCTCCTTTTATAATTTAATCAAACACTAGTCTTTTTGGAGAGGGCCAAGGCTACCTTGACTACCAGTCTGATTCTAAGACTTTAATAAAAGCAGGGAATGGCTGCCAATTTACTCCAAACACTTCCCCAACCCTCTAAAACCAACAGTTTCTTGAAAGCTGAAGATTTGTCTTGCAGAAAAATACAGGCAATAAAACCCCTTGCCCCAGAAAGCCTGGATACTGCTGCTGCTAAGATGAAGCAGTATCCTGCGAATATTCTGATTTCTCTGGAATATTCCCACATTAGTTTGATGTCTCTGATCATTCATGTTGATAAAAGCAAAAGATGCTTTAAAAGACATGAGTGCCCCAAAGTAAAATCTGTAAGAGGGAAAGAAGGGTGGGGAGGGCTGGGGGGAACACAAGATCATTAACCCATTTTGATGAGGACCTCAGCAGGTCTATAGAAAGTGAAAACGTGTTTTTCTCATTCCCTTAAACAATGACAAACAGACAGATGCTAATTTCTGATCTAATTTCTGGTCTCCAAAAGCCCAAAATTAAACACCTCTATGTCAGGTAATGGTCATTTCTGGATGTACTTTCTTAAACATCACACACTAACTTGTACCGCGGTCAGATTGAAGTTAGTGTCTAATACCAGGAGGCCAAGACTGAGATTCATAGGAATGCTCCACTGACTTCTACAGAGTACGGTACTACAGATTTACCCCAAGTTGCTGAGAGCAAAATATACCCCCACATTTGTAACAATCATCGTCTTTGCTTCATCTTGTCAAATACATTTTTTATAGTAGCAAGCCCCAGCCCATCCACATATTTGTTAAGCACTTGGCCTGACCTAGGGTTGCAGAAATTAAAAAGAAACAATTCTTGATAGTTTGCAGAGCAAGCTACACATCCTCACGCTGCGGCGTGTTACAACATGCGTCCTTTTTGAAAGGGTTCTACTGGCATTCGGCTTGCGAGGGAAGTCTCAGCTTCTAGCATGGGGCTAGAATCAGCAACAGGGGAAGAAAACGTATGAATACGTACATTTCTGAGCATACTGGGAGTGTGTCTCCTTGTTCAGAGCCTCTCCTACCAGTGGCAGTTGTAAGAAAGCCAATGAAAATACATGTATGTCTAAAATATTGGTCAAGGCTTCCTTTTTACTTAATAGCCAGGGGATGAAATGAACAGTGCTAGTACATGTGCAGGTCCAGTGAATGGAAGTATGAAGATCAGATGGAAGCTCTGAGCACTGCTACTGTTAGACCTAGCCAACAATAAATGCAGTTCAGGCAGCAAAGGTCACCCCTGACTTGAAGCTATACTGGTGGATTTGAGTGGGACTAGTCTAGGGGAATAAACCTTTCAATGGAAGAAATAGTGCTGTAATATAGGATTTTCATTAACATGATGCAAAGGTTTTACTTCATTGGGAAAGGGAAGATTCCAGCCAAGGCATATTCTCTCCTTGCCGCCTTTGACTTTCCTACCACTACTAGCATGCAGGTTGAAGTTTCTACCTGCTGCCCTTTGGATACAAATATGAAGCAGGTAAGGTCAAATCATGCCTTTCCATACAGACCTCTGCTGGAGGGCAAGAAGCCATGAGTTTTACCTTGCCAAGCTGCTTTGGAGTCATCCCATCTCTGAGTGGCTGTCTGATGATGCAGGCAGGGTTCATGGATGTTCAAAAGTTGATGGTAAAATCCCATCTCAGGATATGCAAGAGGTCCAGTGCCTCCATGTAGCTCCTCAAGCCCTCATTGGATCACAGCTGTGATCCAATGAGGTACTGCAGCTGTGTTTGGAGAAATCCATTCCTTCAGCTAGGCTCACAGAGCAGGAGAGAGCCTGGAGGGAGGGGGTATATTTAAACAAACAGGTGCCTTAATACAGGCCAAGGTGTTTTGCAGGACAGCAGTCATGTCCTCCTTAGGTGGGCTAGGAATAGCTGGAAATGGTAGACAGGTGGTTGTTTTTTTCCTGAATCATGGCTGTAAAGGGATCCTGAGTATGTGCCTGTAGGGAGCCTAGCACACCTTACAAGGACAGCTGGTTTTTGCCTAATTACAGCCAACAAGAAGCATGGATTCTAGTCTTCTAGGGGCACCTGGTAAAGTGCGAAATGACTGCAGGTGGGAAGGGAAGGCTGAAACTTGGGCAGTTGTGGCATGTAGGACATGTCTACAGTGAGCTTTTTGCAGCTGCCAGACCAACTTCATGGTAAGCGCTAGCAGGGAGAAGGAACTGATTTTTTTTTTACTGGAGTCTCAACTTAATTTGCTATGAACAAGGGCTGCAACATGGGATAACTCCTGTGACTGGCCTACCCAGAGCTTCTCCGTCTTCTTCGTCTCTTAGCAGTACAGTAGATTCTGGGGAGGGGTCTAAATGGACACTTATCTTTTGGCTACTTTGTGCATGAGGAATCAATTCCTGCTCTCCCAAATGAGTGATACTTATCATCAAGAAGTAAGCCCATGTTGCTTTTGGACGAATGCCAACTGCTGTGCCCATTCTGTTTGTGTCTTAATTTGTGTCTGTCTCAGAAGATAGCAACACTGTTATATTGGGCTTCTAAGTATTGTGCTTGCAAGTAGGAAAGGTTTACAAGCAACTAAGCATATTCAGAAACCTGAAAAACGTTAGCCCTGTGGGATCTTGCCTACCCCTCAGGAATATTAATTGCTATTTAATTGTTTGTATCCCAAAATGTTTTGTGCCCAACTGAAAATGGCAAGAGTGGTTTATCGTTGTGTTGGGAGGGCTCAAGCCCACCTTCAACTTGGCTTGTCTTTTAGCGTGGAGGTGGAGGTGAGCTCAGTGGCCGAGCTAGCCCACCAGCCTGCCTGTAGCATGAGTTAACAGAGTTCAGTCACAGCGTGCTTTATCTAGAATCAAATCTGTTTCAAAGCAAATGATTGAATTACTGGGCACAAAAGTGCAGGAACTGCTGACTACAAAAGTTTCTTGGGAAACTACAGACTGGAAACTGAAAGTGGACAGAAGAGCATGGACAGTGTATCTAAACTATTACATCATATCGGGGGACAGAAATGTGCTGGCATGTCATTACTGGCCTTTCCTGGTGTTCTGACCCGGGTTTTCTCAGAGGCTACACCTTCTTATCTGTGGCAGTAACACAAAAACTATCCCAAACCCGGATGGATTCCCGGCACTGTTTGTGTAAGATGACTCATAGCTACTCCATCAGAAGTACCACCTCATCTCTCTCCATATGGCAGCTGTTAAAGCTGGTCCTGGCTATGGACCAGTCAGTGTAATGTGTTCCATTTGGCCCTGGTCAAGAGCAAATGGTGAAACCTCAGTGGGAAATATAAAACTGGCCACCAAATTGGAAGTGCCAAGCATGACATTTTCATGGCATTTGTGTCCATTGTAACATGTGGCATGAAAATAAAAGTAAACACATTAAAAATAAAGGAGAACACCATAAATATGGGTTAAAGAGAGTTAACCCCTCACTCTGTCCATTCTGGCATCTGTTCAGAGAGATCACTGCTTGTGCTGACTGCAGTTAGATTAGCCTGGTTGCCTGCAGGTTGCTGTCACTGAGGTTTTTCTTCCTGTCTGGCTCTGCCATTCCTAGGACAAGGAGAAGTAAAGAGATCCCAGACTTGTATGGGACCAAATGAAATTTCCTTGGTTAAACTACTGGGAGTGGAAACATTAACATCAGGTGACACAGACGTTGATACTTGCAGCGTGGACTCTCTAAATTCCCAATCTCTATAGTAGGAGCTGAATAAGTCACAGGACCTGAATGAATGCAGAGAGCTCCATGAAGATGAGAGGAATCCTTCCATTACCAATGGACCACGAAAAAAGAGGTGTCATTGTGATTAAGGCTTTGACTGAGGACTTAGATGGTTTGGGTTCAGTTTTTGAGTCTAGCACACATTTCTTGCATGATCTTGGTCAAGTTACTTTGCCTCAGCTCAACAAAAGGACCAAAGTGCCTAAGGTGGGATTTAGGAGCCTAGGATCAAAGCCAAGGTTCTCAGAATCTGTGCTCAGCTGGCACCTAACTCCAGAGTTGTCTAAAGCACCTAAGTCCTGGCAGGTCTGAACAGATCAGCACCTAGTTCCATGGGCGCTCACAGGCAAGCTGTGTCTCTGCCTCTTTTGCTTGAGGACCTTGATCCAGTAGGTTTGCCAAAGGGCTTGCCTACCGGACCATCATACTTATGCAGGATGCAGTGGTGGCTACCTTATAAAATCCAGCCAGAGAAGTGGCTGCCATCACATCCTTCCCATTTATAGAGTCCTTCACTAGCTAGAGCACTCACTTAAGATGTGGGTGAGCCAGACTCCACTCCCTTTTCAGCCCGAGAGGGTTCATTCCCACACCTCCCACCTCCCTCAGGCTAGAGGCTATTCTGGGATGGGTTGTGGGTGGCCCTTCCCCACCCCTCCTGTAGCAGCTGTCATGGCTCCAGTTCTTAGATACCAAACTCCCCATGCACTTTAGAGGGCCCTGGGTGCGGACTCATGGCTATGGGTCCCACAGCTGGGGCCAGGTGCCTGAAAACTAGGTGCTGTGAGGCTGGACTTTGTAGTGTGTGCATCTCTTTGTGCGTTTGGCCTAAGTCTTGATCTCTCCATTCCCTGGCTGTCAGACCTTGGTAATAATACTACTAATGTCACTGCAGTGTCGTGAGGATAAGCGTTCCAGAGACGGGAGGTACTCTTACAGTCAGGAGCTCCTGAAGTACCTGAGGCAGACTGTACGAGCGCTCCCACTGCCATTTGGGGTAAGCAGCATGGCAGCAAGCTTGCAAAAATAGCAATACCTTATACAACAAGCAAAATAAGTCTGGGAGGTCACTGAGTCTAATTCTGTTATCATCCCATGACTGTAAATACAGGATAACATCAGTGTGAGTCAGGGTGCCCAGCACCTTACTGAAGCAGTTTTGTAATTAACACTACGGTATGGTCATGGACCCCTGGGAGACAATAGAAAGTGCTTATATTTAGTGAAAGTGCCTAGGATTTTGTAGATCTGGGCAAAACTGGCTTTTGGGAATCTGGATAAATCATGTAGATCTCTTCCTGAGACTGCAATCCCCTTATTATTACATATTTGACACCTTTCCTATGCCAGGTTCTTCTCAAAAACCTTCTCCTCTTTTTCCAGTGGGTGGCTTGTGCCAGAAACAGTCTGATGGCATTCATACCTCCCAACTGCATTGAAGACAGAGCCAAAGCAGACAGGCGCAGAGAGAGGGAGAAGTACAACAGACAGACAATGGGGGAAAAGACAATGGGGAAGGGAAGGGCAGCCTTGGAGTTGCTTGCTCCTATCAGCTGGGAAAGAGGGGACCCTGAGCACCTCATTACTGTATATTCATAGATGCAGGACTACCAGCCCTGCCAATAATAATTTACCTATTACGAGATTGCCTGATCTTTCCCATTATACAGCCTGTTTCAGTTGCCAAACTTGAACCGTTTTAGTCTGAAATTCCCTGCCTAATGCCTGTGTTAGGCTGAGGCATTCTGTTTATATGTTAACAAAAATGGTTCAGCTGTTTCACAGAAAAAGGGTTTGGGGTGGTGGGGGGGTAGGGAATACTTTGTCTTTTCCTGACGCAAAGTAAATAGCAACTGTTTTTTTCTTTAGAGTTCTAGTGCCCTCATGCACCGGAGCAGGGACTTGACATCTGCACAGCAATCAATCTGCCTAAATCTGGCCAAGTTATAAGTTATTTGTTAAATCTGCTTCAGAGACTTGGTAGAGCCCAGCAGCTGAAATCTTCCAAGTTCCTATCTTTTCCATCCTCTCACAGCTCCTGCTAGCCAGACTGCACGCACTATCCCCACACAGCAACTGAGCATACTGAAGCCCACAGGTACAAAGTGAAGCTAGCTTATACCTGTACAGGCTGCTCCCAGCTATATCAGGCTAGAGTGGGGCCAGACACCAGGGCTGAGAGCAGGGAGCCTGTGGAAAAATGCCTTGGGATCACTTAAAGGCTGTATCATCATAAGGCTTATGCAAAAGGGGCCCATGTTAAAGTTGTATAGGCAACCTGAACTCAGGCATTTCCTACCATTTGAGTGAACCTTAGTGATGTTCTACTAATGGAGGCTTTTTTGTGTGTAAGTCTTTGGTGTTATCTTTGCACAAACTGGCAATAAAATCATAAAATGAGGTGTAATTCACCCCTGTTGCCATTTCTATGTAGTCTGTATGTAGAGTCTCTTTTTCTGGATTAAGAGCCTCTTATTTCAGTGATAACATAAATTGGTTTTAAAAAAAAGCCCACAACCAAAAGCATGAATGGTCTATTATGTTGGCGAAGGTGTGAATTACATCCAATTTCAAATTTTCAGTGCCTGCTTGCATATAGATCAGCTCTTACAGAGCAGTATTATTCTATAGCGCAGAATATGCAGGAGGGATGAGCTGTGTCAGAATCACTATTGTTCCATTACACACACACACACACACACGCATGCACGCATGCACAAGCCCATTTTGTTTGAAAAAGGTAAAATGTACGTTTGATCTTTTCCTTTTCCAGGACCAGGGGCCTCTGCTTAACAGCTGGAAAATCCACGCCTTGATTCTGTACACAAGGAATTGACAGCATGCAAATGTGGAACTGAACGAAGGCAGCACGCTCGTTAGCACGTCCAGCAGGGCTTGAAACAGTTTCAGTTGCCCCCCCCACTTCCAGCATTATTAGACTATACCAGCACTGCCTGCCTAGGCAAGGGAGGAATAGGAAATAAGAGCCCGTGATATCTCTGTGTGAGCCACCTAATTCTTAGGGCAAGGTGCATGAGAGAAAGCTGATCGGGGGCTGATTAGAAGGTGGTGTATGGACAGACCATGGACTTTCCCTTCAGTCTCAGCTGTGCCAAGATAGCAGGGTACGGAGGGCATAGACTTAAAGTCAATCATTATCTCCTCTTGCACTGCAAGGGGGCAGTGGGAAGGGAAGTGCTCTTCAGAGGACGTCTCTGAGTCACAGGACCTCACCCCTTGTGATATCTAACAGTCCAATCTAGCCCTTAATAACTAACCTATGCAAAAAGACAGAGTTATGTGTGGACAGCTTCTTTAGGTCACAGGATCCCATGTAAACTCCATGCCAGGAAAAGCAGAATAACATTCTGCAATGACAGCTACTGGAGGCTAAGTTGTTTGGCACTATTCGTGCTTCAACTTAGCCTTGGAAAGGATGTATTATTTAATCAGTGGCTCTCAGGGAATTTCTGCTTACCAAGGGAGGCACATAGCAAATTATTTTATTCAGTACAGAGAGGCTACTAAAGGGAAACCCTTTTGACACAGAAAATTGCCCAAGAGGATATTACTCGGGGAGGGGGTGGGGGGGGACTTTTGTCTGCTACTTTGGGGAGGCAGCAAGCAGAAGCTGGAGAAAGGAAAAAGATCTCACTTTGGTTGTTTATATCTGAGGTTTGACAGACCCGGCACGAGCAGACAAAGGCTGTTCTGTGATACCCAGTGTGGGAAAAGTGTCACTGACGATTCCACTAACTTGGGGTTATTAAATCAATGTCATCTCCCTCCTCTGGCTATGCTGAGCAGGGGCTGGACCATTCAAGATGTGAATTCCATTACATGAAGAGCCGCTGCTCCTAAAGAGACCCGTTCCGCCACCCACTCACCCCCGCAGCATCCTGCACCAACCGGAGTGCTGCTTAGACCGAGGAAGGAAGCCTGAATTTGGGTCTCCAGATGACAGAATTGATCCCAAAGTCAGTACAGAGACACTCCTTGTTTGTGCACATGTCAATCCCCTATGCATGCAGACTCCTATTATTTTCCAAGCTCCATCCTTAAATACCGCACATCAGATGACTTTGTAGCAGGAAATCCTACAATTTTCATAGCAGCCAACAGACATTGGGGGTGTTTGCTAGATTGGACCCTGACTGCAGGACTGAGCTGCATTGCTAGTTCCACTGGGGAACAAAATAACAACTCAGCCAGGAAAATAGCAGGGCAATATTAATTACTGCCGGGTGGGGGCAGGGATCCATATTGGAGGAAAGCCAGAAAAAAAAATACATCCATTTTTTAACACATATTTCAGCTCTGTTTTATGCTTCATCTTTGTCATTCAGGACAAAGCATGCATGTGCATTTCTGTGTCCCTCCCAGATCTGAGGCAGCTTTCTCACACCAGTTAGAGTTTCAGCGGCTAGACAGCCTGGGGGTTGCGAGCTCGGATTGTAGACAAACGGGTGACTGTAGCTTTCAAGAGCCCCCACAGACATTCCTCCTCGCCTTTACTTTTGGTTCTTCCTTGCAAAACCAGTAGTCCCACCCTGTGATTTATCTGTTATGTTCGAAGAACAAGGGAAGCCATGCAAAGGTCTGAATACTGCAGACCGAGGAGGGGGAGGAAACACGCAGTGCAGTGCCGTACGTCTAGCAAACGAACATGCAGAGCAACGGAGGCGGGAAAAAAGAGCCAGGCAATGAAGAAAATACTTTCCCGTGGGTAGGGAAGTTTGGAGGCAGAGCTCACAAGGGGCCTTCACCTCCTTTACGCATCGGGGAATCACTGGGACAGAACTCAGTGCTTTAGGCTGAACGGAGCTCATTTCAGAAGAGGAGTGGCTGGTTGACGTCCTCCAGGGAAGTCTAACAAGTAGAGAGAGCAAAGCAGCCCTCAGAGGCCTCCTTAAAGGGAGCTGAGGAGCCAAAGGGGCGGGCCCAGAGGCAAGGAGGGAGGGGGCGTGGCCCCCAGTTAATTCATTAAAATGTGTCGGAGAGCGTGGGAAAGACGAGAGCTTTTCTTCCCAGCGCAGAGACCCAGCAAAAGGAGAGAGAGAGAGAGAGAGAGAGAGAGAGAGGATAGCGATCAAACTACAAACACCCTCTGCTCGCTGCAAGCAGAGAGGAAGCACAAGGTTGTGCTCAGGAACTGCAGCAGACAGTCACTAGGCAGGACCGGCCTTTTGGCTTCACCTTCCCTGTGCATCAGGCCTGAGAGCAGCAAAAATGACACAAATCCACCAAATGCAGGAGCCTGCAAACAAACCAGTTGTGAATTTCTGAGGGTGGGGAGAGGTGGGATGAGGCCTGCTGCCTTGGCACAGAGGGAGAGGCCGGGAGCAGAGCTTTCTGACCTTGTTCTTGGCTTCTGGTTTTGTTCCTTATGGTTTAGAAGTGTCTGCATTTAAACAAGAAAGAAAGGGGAAAAAATAGTTCAAATATCATTAGTTGCAGGAAACAGACCCAGATGCCTGACAAGCTCTGGCAGTTTGCATCCCTATAATAAAAACAGAGAAGGATGGAGACACAGCCAGTGGGGGTGGGAGAAAGAACCTGACTCGCTGCTGGCCAGGGATTGAGAAAGCCCTGACCTTCCCTGCCAGGTACTGAGTGCTCTCAGCTCTCATTGGTTTCAATGGGAACTGAAGGTACAAAGCACCGTGCAGGAGAGGATCCTAAACATCCTTACTCCACAGGTCAGGTTTACAGAGCACATAACCTGTCCCCGCTGCTGTACGAAGCAATTCTCTAACAACTCTGCAGGGAGGTGGAGGGTGCTACATCAATCCCCTTTTTAGTGGGAGCACCCTGACACAATCCACCTTAAGGGACAGACCTCTGGATTGGAGATGGCATGGGCAGTTATTAGTACTAAAAGGTTTGATCCTGCATATCCCTTCCTTACCTCTGATGCCCCAGGGGAGTGGATGGGTCCTGTCAGTGGAATAAAAACTACTCCTTTGAGGAAGGATCTTCAGGATGGCTCTCTTGCTTCAGTAAAAGATTCCAGGGCTGGGCACGCAAACACCCCTTGGCACCGGGGCTATGGAGATTTAGGCCCCAAATCAGAACAGTGAAACCTGTGATTAAGTCCACTGCAGTTCAAGACAGAACTCAAGTATGTGCTTACTTCCCATTGACTTCAGTAGGACCGCAGCACCTAAAAAGCTCAGGCCTTAAGTTAGCAGGTTCGTGGAGAGACCAGACAGCATGAAGCAAGGGCAGATCAGGAAGCTGGTCTGTTTTAGGGACCTGAAAGAGGAGTGGGGAAGCACCCATTAAAGCAGTGCTGCCCAGCAAAGCTTGACACCCTTTCTTTCAGACCCACTGGTAATCACCCCTTGAGGTACAGGGTTGGGGAAGGAGGCTGGGGCAGTCTTGACCTTGAATTTCCTGTTTTGTGACAGATCCAAACAGTGGCTGATGTTCAGCTGTGCAGTGCAAACCACATTTCAGCATCTCAGTGCAGCAGGAAGTTAGAAATTGCAAATGCCTAAATGCTTCTGGAATCTATAAGGAGTCTCTTGAAAATACAGGTCCTGATCCTAAAATGATGTAAGCACAAATTTAAGTTAACCCTCTTCCATTGAGGTTGGTGGGTCTACTCGCATTCACTTAACTTGCTGCACTGAGTGAGACTGAAGAATAGGAATCTCCTGACTCTGCAATTCGATTTATGTGGGTTGACAGTGAGGTCCACAAGCGATCTTTTGGGGGCTGCATTGGCTTGGCGTGGTTGGACAGGTCCAGTTGAGTGCAGGGCCAATCCAGATGGCACAAGACTCAGTCCTGTGTACAGAAATGCCAGCTCTTAGTTTTCACTCAAAACTACTACAGAAAAATACTAGAGCAATTCTTCTGTTGCAAAGAATGCAGAAAGACCATGATAGGTCAGGGTGCATTTAACACTATGGATCCTGTTTGAAATCTCTGCATTTTTCTTGTGAATCAGATTTGCCCACCCATGCTGAGGCACCCTGCACCTTAGCCAGCCACTCCACAGTGTGTGGAGACAGGGGGGCAGCCCTGGGCTGGCCGCTCCCCCTTCTCCACATGCCCTTCTCCACATCTCCGTGGCTGGCTGGGGTGCAGCGTGCCTCAGTGTGAGCCCTGCACTGAGACATCCTGTGTCCCAGTCAGCCCCCACCCACCCCGGGTCCTCTGCCAACCCAGACTGCTCTGACTGGGCTCCGTTTGGTGTGCAAGAATCAATTCCAAAGCAATTTGTTCCGAAATTTTTTACTCCTGGGAGCACGTTCAAACAGTGTACCCAGAAACAAAAAAGCCCAGAGCAATAAGCTCCAGAGCTTCTTGTTCTGTATTAATTGCACATGTAGACCTGCCCACTGGCAGTCAAACCAAGAGGCAAATTGATACTGGAGACCCAGTGCCACATTCACTCTAAATGGAGTCCCCTCGGATCAGCCTTCAAGGTGGGAGGAGCTTGCACTTCCTTTGCCATAGCCTGCTCTGTGGATGAATGAAGGCCTGACAAGACAGACTCTGTTTCCAGCCCTGAAGCGGATGTCACAGTTAAAAGCTAGCTGTGGGGTGGGAGAGTTGAACACTGAATTCATCTTTTGAAAACCCTCAGCTGTGGACCCCAAATAAAGGAAGCGACATTTTGACAGTAAACACGATGCCTTTGCCCAGTGCTCTGAGTCCAGAGACAAATCCCAGGGATAACTGAAGTTGTTGCTTCATGGACTTGGTTCTTAACCATGGCATTAGTGTCTCACCTCTCTGCAGCTCTGCTTCAGTTCAAGCCACAAAGTCACACCATGGAAAGCTAAGCTGATTTCTCTCTGAGCCAGTCAAATATGCAGCAGGGTTTCCGATCCAGATTACACCAGGAAGGAAGTTTGCTCGGAAGGGGATGGGGATAAGGTGGGGGAGAAGGGAGGGAAGCACATTCCTGGCTGATGAGGAACAATGTTTATATGTTCATTTGTAAACTAAAGTTAGCCTGAGTGCCAAACACCTTGTCCCCATCAAACTCATAA